AGTGTGTTCTGTGATGTGATATTGCTAATACCTGATATTTTTTACCAAGCTAGCATGCTACTGATTGGTTTGAACTGGGTAAATATATAACTGTGCATTTACGGTTCTGAAATCAAAACATTGCATTCTTCAGACATCTCACAGTCCCATTTTTGAGAAACAGAAAGTAACAGTTTCTGTTCCTATTTGTAAACAGCAGATGAAGATTAAAAAAAAATCTCAAAATAACTATTTCTCTCTTGCTGCCTGTTTCTGTTTTGCATTGTGTTTACTGCCACTGTGCTGAGATTTACAAATTCAAAATCACTTTTCTCCTGGTCCCTTTAAGTGCAGTTGTAATTTAAGCATTACACATCACAAAATTATTCTCTCTAAAACTAATGAACACAATATTCTTCTTTGACTTTGGCTTAATTCCTCACCCTAAAAATGTTCTCTGCTTCGTACCTGATAGTGAGCACATGCATTTTTCAGGTACTTCCTCATGACATGGTAGATTATTAGGAAAGATGTTTGTTCCTTTTTTTTTTTCCCAACCATCTAAGATCCATTTAATTAAGTTCCTTAGGACAGCAAAGCACTTAAATATATGTTGTAAATGTAAGCCATTCATTTCTGACCTTGCTGTTGGGAGCAGCAGGAATGATGAATGATAATGAAAAGAGTAATTACATTCCAGCTATAACTCTTAGATTCCATTGTTTTTACAACAATTTGCATATGACTTGGTTTCCACTCTGATGAAGAAAAAAGCCTGTTTAGACAAAAATACTGTAGGTAGACTCTTCTACTCTGAAATAAATAATTTTTTGCTGTTTAAATAGTTATAAATATGTCATATGCAGCTATTTAATTTAAATATAATATTTGAATAAATATACAGTATTTGAATAAGTATGTATTTCAATACTTAAGCAAAGTTTTGCAATTCATTAGAGTTTGAAAAGTGCTGTGTTGGTGTAAATCTTTCCCATTCAGGTCAAAGGCATCCTTTCCTAAGAAAAAGTATTAATAAGCTATTTTGAAGATCCCTTCACTAACTAATGTAAATGGCATGCATCATATGCTAATCTCCTAGCTGCTTTATTTATAGATTAAAAATTAGAACAGGAAAGACTTCTCTAATATGGCCCTTAACTGCAAATTTTTTAAAAAAGATGAAATAAAAACCGTGACCCAAAATATTTTAAAGCAATAGCAATCCTTTTTTGTTGAATGAAACAGTACTTTGCTCTTATTCCTAATTCTATGCGGTCCAAACATCAACAGGCCTGTAGTAGAGTGCTTACTATTAGCAGTCCCTTTGGCTTTTGATGAAATTGTTTAGTATGAATAACAACTCCACAGCAGTCTGGATGAAAAAGAAAGCCTGCAACTTCCAGATTTAACCACTAGAGATGATGAAATAAGCACTTGAGGAGGATTTGATTTAGCAAGGCCGGTGTGATTGGCACCCCTCACCCTCTGATGAGTGCCACTGGCCTGTCATGACTGGTTCAGTGTTGTGTTTCACATCTTGTCCTGGCCCAGCAGTACAAAGCCTGTGTGGTGGTGCCAGGGCAGGGGGCAGCGGTGGCTCCAAGCCACCAGGCGGCTGCCAAATGGACTGCTGGGGTGCTTCCTGTGCCACTGCTCTGCTGCCTGCTGGTGGTCTGCCATCGTCGTGCCTAAGCTTACCTTCTGAGGGCAGGTGGCTATGTCTGCAGGGTGTTTTTTATTACACAAAATAGAGTCCAAACCAACTGCCAGCTGCTGCTCTGCCTACAGTCTTCCTTGTCCTGGATAGAGGATTTCAGTATCTTTTTAACAGACACACACATTTACACTAATCCAGAAAACCTGAATGTGTTTCCCTGCTGGGCGGGACTAGTATTCTCATTAGTGTTTTACGTATGTTGAAGCCGTTGAAACTGTTCTTACTGGTGAGAAATACTGGATGCTTTCCTCTCAGATGTCAAGGCTAAGCTAAACAGAAGCAGAATAGCTCCTGTTGATCCGGTCAACAGGGTCAGTTGTATTGATATTATTAGAAATGTAAAGTTCAAGATGTATGCATTATTCTATGAAGACTTGGATTTGAGGAAACAGATATTATTGTCACTAGTTCTGACTCACATTTTCTTGATTTTAATTTTTATTATGTATTGAACAATACCTGTCACAAAACCTTCAACTGCTTTTCATGTAAGGCCCAATTCTTCTTTTTCTTGAGACAATTTTCAACTTTGTTCTTCTCTCGAATAGATGGTCTAAAAAGGGGGGGAATCCATAGTGGAGGGATAAATGTTTTACTACTGTACTGTGCAGAGCACTGCAAAATGTATGTTCTTGAATAGTCTCGTCTTGATACACATTCATAGCAAACAATGCCAGAGATGAGGAAAAACACAACCCAGCCCTTGCAGATAAAAGATACATTTCAGAGTGGCCCATGTAAATGGGATGCAAAAGTTTAACAGAATCAGACAGGCTACAGTTTGTGAGGACAGAGTTTATTGGAAAGCTGACTGGAAAAAGACAAATTTATGTACATGATAGCCCTTCTTCAGAGCTAGCATGTATATAACACTTTGGATTTGGAACACATTTCCATCTTCATGTAAGAAACATCAAGAGAGCATTCTTAGGAGAGAAAAAGGTGTCTCTCTACCTGAGATTATTGCTGTTCAGAGGATATAGCTCACCAGACAGTGGGGGGTATGTCAATATCTCAGCTGATTTACAGTTTAAATCAAGGATTCAAAGGTGAGACTTGGATCCAGGCTTTCCAGTGTTTCCAGCTACCCGCTTTGGGGTAACCTCATAATACGGTAGCTAAGAGGATCAATGCACAAACGTCAGTGCTTGTGAAGTGTTCTCATCTTTGTCATTGCAAGGTTAATAACAACCTTTTTAGTAAGACAGTTCCAGACTCTTCTACTGCAAAATTTCTGCCTCCTAGCAGTTGTTCTTAACCAGCAGAATGGTACAGCCCCACTAAAGCTGGGCAGTCAACTCCTGCAGCTGCCCATGGTGCTAGGCTGGCCCAGGGCACTGAGGACTCCTCATACAGCAGGAGTAGAGATATTTTTTTAGTGTATGCATAGGTAAGAGCGTGTACCCTAATCAGAGCCTGTAAGAGACTGTGGAAGTCTCTTGAGTGGCTGCATCATCTGTTTTCCTTGACATATTCTGAGAGCAGTTGGATGGAATTCAGGATACTGCTCAGCCCTGGTTCATTTTCTCCTTTGAAGTGTAGGAGTTGAGATGCCCATTATCTCCGCTTGCCCTGAGGCAGGAGATGCTGGAGCACAACTGAAAGTAGCCTGGGCTGTTCTGTGTTATTATTGCAAGAGAGCAACAGCCAGATGACATCAAGTGCTGAAGCTTACTTACATGGCAGATAAAGACATCCTGGTACAAATGCATTGAAGAAACCATCTGAATTGTACAGTATCTTGGTATTTCCTTCCAGGAGTACCAACTGCTTTGCTCTGTAGCCTGCAAGGAAGGTGGTCCAGTCAGCATGAACTTGGTCTTAGTTGTCAGCTCAAGATTGTGGATATGCTGGTTTAGATACACTCTCCGTGGCTGCACAGCAGTGCAACAGTAATTCAGAGAAGGCAAGGACATGGTAATCCTGACAGCCTTGGGGATCACTGACAGGGTCCCAGAATGGTCAAAATATCTCCTATTTTGTCTTTACACCACTTATACCTCAGTAATTTTTGGATTAAATCCATCAAAGCAGGAGAGTTGTAAAATGACATGACAGTGGAGTTGGGCTCAAATTTGTGGTAACTATTCCACAGGAGAAACAATACTCTGGAATTAATTAAACTTGCTGACTTCAGTGACATTTTATAATGTATCCTTCTAATTACTCTGTATACAACACATTGTGAATTTTGAAGAGCTAGAAATTGAGTCTGGAATACCAAAATATATATAAAGAAAATGCTTTAGTGGTATTTTTCTACCCAGAAATACGTAACCTCTGTGACTAATGGTTTTATTATATTTTTAGGCTATGTTGATAGTAAGAAAAATGCTTAATGTTGGTTTTAGTACATTAATCTACAGGTGTCCAACCAAGATTCAGCCTATATGTATTCATGCTTGATTTTGAATAGCATAAATCTAATCCAATCTAATACTATGTATAAGAGAAATTATATAAATATTGCATTGCATGTCAAAGGCCTTTCCTTTTGGTACAATAATATCTTTCTGCTGTTACCAGAAGGAGTAGGTGTTATTAACCACCAACAATGTCAATATTTTCCAATATCTTATGTTTAATAAAGGAAAAGTTTTCTGGATGCGAATCTGAATTTATGTTTCAGCTACAGTAAATGCTCTTAATAGTGTGATTTTTCTTTATGCTGTGCTGTGAAGCTTAACTCTGGTTTGCAGAGTTTAAATCTCAGCTCTCTGTATAACCATTGCAGTAGAGGTTGAAGGTGAAGTAATGGTAATATGGTACTTGAAATAAAGTGGTTTTGCTAACAGACCAGTGAACATTGTCTGTTTATACAGAAATAGTGTTTAAACCTCTGCTGGGTTTACTCCATAGCTTGATGAAATAGTTTCTCGCTTGGGTAGGCAGTGTGCCCGTCTAATCTTTAGTCTGGTTGCTGAGGAGAAGATATAGCTTTCTGTACTTCTGTACTTTCACTACTTAGAGTAGTGCTTTTGACATTGTCTCTGTGTTCCAGTGACATGGTGTTAAATGGTACTAAGACCTCGATTCAATAAGTTGGAAAATAGGATGGTATAATAAACAAGTGAGCTGATTGCCTTGTACTGTAAGAAATACTGAATATGTTTCTTGTATTGTGATCATGGCTTGTCGTGACCTTGCTCTGACACCATGACTCAATGACACAATCTTTTCCCCAGGAGAAGTGGATTATTAACTTCCTGTAGGCCAAACAAACAACTGGAAAAGAAATGGGGTTATTTGTGGTTGTTTATTTCATTCTCTTCCTGACACTTCTCTGCCTCCTGACTCTTCCTAGTGCCTGGAGCCCTGCAAAGAGTCCTGGGACCTGAAGAAAAACCATTGCCAAAGCTTCTGTGAGGTACGTCAGCCCAAGGGCATGCTTTCTCACTTTGTTCTAGCAATCTCTTTAATTTAAATTATTAGCTTCATGGAGCCAGCTGAAAACCATGGGATTTTTACAGCAATCACCTTTATTTGAAAGGATACACATATAACAATGTATCTATATTAATTTTGAATTTAAAAAAATTATATTTTTTCTGACCAAATGATTCATCTCAACTTATACTTTTAAGTCTTGGTCCAGTCACACTTACATAGCATCTCTCAGAAGCTATTTCTACCACTTGCCCTTCTATCTTTTCTGACCATGCATAAGAAAGACAATTTTTGTTTAAAAGATAAAATGTCATTGTGTAAAAAATCCTTGTGCAGGGTAGCTAGAACAGATGGCTTTCCTGCATGTGAAAGTCAGTCTGATTTTCTAAAAGGATAGTTCTCCAGGAGTAACTGGATTGTGGACTCCAGGTTCAGAAGACTGATATCAACATGCATAATTATTCAGGAACAAATCTTCAGAGAAACTGTTTTTGGATCATGTTTCAGAATAATCTGTGAATAAGCAAACATGAATCAGTTAAACTAGAAAAAAGATGGAGATGGTTTTATTGGATTTGAAACATGGCTCTGTTGAGTTAGTGGAAGTCAGCTGTTACAGTTTTTAAGTGTTTTTTAGTTCAGAATGGAAATATCTCACTAGAAAGTTGCTTTGTTATAACTAAATCAATATAAAGGTAAAAATTTATTCAAGTCTATTAAAGTGAATCATTATGAATGTTTTAATCTTTTCCTATAAAAAATAGAAATTAATTGATGTACTGATCTCACTGATACACTGATTTGACTCATCTCCTTTTACTGTGGACACTCCTTTTCTGGTATAAGAGCATGTCTTGTGTTTAAATTATTTTAAGCATAATGAAGATGATTAAGAATAGCTATAATTTCAGCTAAAAAGATTTAGATACAACAATGTGTAAGTAGGGATTATATATGATCTGTGTAGGTACATCAGAAGACAAAGTAAAAATTTCTCATGAAAACCAAAACTTGTAAGAGTTTTTCAACCCAGATTATTTGCTAATTCCTCATATACAAAACTCTAGGGTAATGTAATAAAGCAGTTTTAGTGGATCTAATTTATGTTGTTCTTTTATATCAGTTCTCACTCAGACTGCATGTTTCCAGATATGAGTGAAAATACGTATAAAATTGGTTTAAAAGGAAAACATTTGTAGTACACTGTTCTATTGTAGTTAAAAACTGTGAGCATCCTTCTTTGATTAGTGTTTTGTGGTTAAGGCTAAATTTGGAACTTCAAAGGCCCATAATGAAGAGCAGCACATTTAGCAGCTAACTGAAAAATGAGCTGTGAAATAGGGTGAGGAGGAGAAGCCTTGAGGACGTATTATGCCTCAGGGAGCTATAACATTTTTAATTAAGTAGCTGCAAATTTGTGATGTTTTAGGATTTGAAATTAGCTTCACACACACAAAAGCCCGGGACCACATTCCTTTCTCTCAGAGTCCTGTATACTCCATAGACATTGATTGAGTTAAAGGAGGATGTTTTCCTGTGAGAGAGTTTTCAATCTTTTTGTATTTTGTAAAAACTCTGGAAGCAACAATTTAGCTTTGTTTCTCAAGGTCCCTGCTTGGTATATTACTTCTTATCTACTGAATAAGTGTACTGCTGAATGTTAAAGGGAACCTTACGTGTGAAGAAGAGAAGTAGACAGTTTATCTGACTCCTTTTTTTTCCCCCCATAAATTTAGTTTCTGCTGGTTTAGCTTTTTAACTGGCTAGCTATGGGATCAGGTGCATTCCGATGGGTGGAACATCAGGAGTGCATGTCCGAGAATCACTGGGGTCAGTAGGAGATGTAGGGACTGCTTGGTTTTGCAGCCTTTAGGCTAAATAAGCCTGTAACACCCAAATGCAGCCTTAAAAGCCAGATTCAAAGATTCTGGACTGCTCTGTAGGAAAAGATTGGAGAGGTAATGTAGTGGCACATTCTTGAACCAGAGTGACTTTGGAGAATAAACTGACACATGGACTGTAAAACACCTGGGCCCCCATAATAGCCAAATCTTTCTCATTTTGCCAGAAATATGAGAACAGTAAAACCAAGAAAGTAAAACATTTGAATATGGAAGGAAGTTTCAGAAATTACATGAATAGTGGGATAGGGAGTGTGTTATAACTCCTGTGTAGTCTTAGGAACCTCTAAATCAGATCTGTCAGGGTGGAACGGTTTTGGTTATTCTAGGATAGAATGGCCAGCTATAGATAACCCCAATTGCAAGGATTGCCCATCTGCAGTTCCACCAATGACTTTGAGGGAATCACTTTAGCTGGTTTTGCACCAAACTAAAAAAAGAGGAGATGTAATCTCCATGTCACACACAATATTTTCCCCAGGATTCTAGATGGTATTTTACATACAGTTTTAAGTGGACCTTGCAAACCTCTGAGTAGTACACGTTATATAATGTCTATGCATTGAAGCAACCTCTAATATATCTAGGACTAGATTTATCAAAGAAGTAGCATTTACTTTGATCTTTAATCAGTATATTTAAGGGTTATTTCAATTTGTATTTTCTGCTGATCATTTTATCAGAAATTTAGTTCCAGTCGATGAAGAGTTATACAATTACTAATACGCTGGCAAGAGCAAAAAGATGCTGCAAAATCTTCTCTTAACCAACTTAGTTCAAACAGTATAATGACACAAGATTTCCCTTATTTATCTAGAGTGGCATTACATCAGATATTGTGGTGAAAGTGTTACAAAATACAGAGGGAGAAATGTGGGGTAGTCCAAAAAAAAAAAAAAGGCAGACTGTCTGACCGTTACTTCCCCTTTGTTTTGGGTATGTATTTAATCTGTCATTGAGCAACTTCGTACCCAGCCAATGTGAGGAAAACAAGGGAAAGCTGGCAGATATAAACAACATTATTTCATTAAATATGGTGGTCTTACTTGAGAGAATTCATCATTCTGTACTTGGAATGCTTTTTTAGAAGTGGCTTAAGTATATAAATCTTCAGGGATAGTCTTGCAAGAGCTGAAAATCTGAATATTCCTTTAGGAGATCTTGGAAAACTTACAACATTTTTTCTTTGGTGTTTTTATATTTCTTTTTTTTTGTTGTTGTTATTCCCATTGAAAACATGATACACTTCTTTTGTTTTTCTTTTAGCCTCTTTTCCCCAAGAAGAATTATGAATGCCTAACTAGCTGTGAATTCCTTAAGTACATCCTGTCTGTGAAGCAAGGGGACTGCCCAGCACCTGAGAAAGCCAGTGGTTTTGCAGCTGCCTGTGTTGAAAGCTGTGAAGCTGATAGTGAATGTTCTGGAGTGAAGAAATGTTGTTCCAATGGATGCGGTCATACGTGCCAAGTTCCAAAGAATCTGTACAAAGGTAGAGATTATTAATGTGTACTCAAACTGGGCTAATAACTTCAGGCTGTAACAAAGTCTCCTAGAAAACCAGGAATTTCATTTTCTGAGTTTGTATGGTTGGGGAGAAAAAAGAGAGGTGCCTGTAGAGATATGGCCGCACAGTGAAAGGGTGGAAAGCTAGAGAGAAATGCTGCGTAAATTTCTAATTTTTTCCCCTCCTTGTGAAGCCCATGCCTGGAAATCTGTGGAATGTAAACATGGTTATTAAGCAGAAAAAACTTTGCCAATTTAGGTGAAATCTCACTTAATTTGATACAGATGAGAGATAATGCAGCAGAAAAATATTTAATGATATATGGTTCAGGTCCCAATTATCACAAATAACATTTATTATCTAAATGCCAAGTAGGTGGGACTACCACACAGGAAGTAAAAGAACAAATCAGCACAGTATATTTGGCATTGATGTTCTTAATGACCTAAGAACAAAATAGTGAAAGATTATAATATCACACATAAATTTTTAAAATTTATTTTAGTATTGTAAAAAAAAGGCTTTTTTTGACATCCTTCAGTAAGAACATATAGGCTAAGAAATGATGTGCTTAGACAAATTCCAGATTTTAATTTATTGTAATTAAAAAAGGCTTTATACATGGAAATATTTGAAAAATGTGCTCCTAACCAGAAAAATAGGCATTTGTGAACGGCATATTCTTGTTCCACACAGTTGATATGTTTTGTTAGAAATCTATTCTCCTACATCAGTGATAAAAAATAAATATTATTCAGTTATTAATCAGATATCATGGGCTCTCTGTTGGAGCCTAATCAGCAGAACTCTGAACTAAGCTCCAGGCTTAGATCTGAATCCATCCTTATTTCCATCCGTGGATGGAAACGTGATAAAATATATGAAGAAGATGGTGATTTTATTTTTAAGATCATTGTTCTAACTGAAATGTTAATGAATCTTTTTCAGTGTCTCTAGTGATGAGAATGTATGTCAGAAATAGTGTGCTTTGACTTTTGAATCCTGTCTTTGAGTGTACGGGGTGGGTCATCAGGAAGCACTGTTATTTACTGACATAAATAGAGAAAATTTGGTCTAGAAGTCATAGAGTTGAATAAGCATAAAACTTATGAAGGTAGTATTTTGAACAGCAGGCAATACTATGATCCCCATTTCCAGTGCAGAAGGGGAATTCTCTTGTTTCCAAAATACTTTAGAGCAGGCCCTTTAAAACTGTAAGGAATTAGTACACCCTAAAATACAGCACCTTTCAAAATGAAAGTTATTAAAATGGATCACTTATTTATTTCTTTTGTCTTATTGAGACCAATGACCAGAGTGATAAACAAGCATTCATGTTTTATATGTAATGATTTACATGATCAAGCTCCATGCCACAACTACAAAGCATTCCAGTAAATGTAACAGCTGGAAAAAGTAAAAAACAAAACAAAACAAACAAATGAAAGAAGTTTACATGCTTCTGGAGCTGGCACAGAATATGACAGGATATGATACATTCTGTAACTGCACACTGGAAGGTTTACTACTGTTCAGCCTGATTATGTAGGAGCAGAACTAACCTTCCCTATCATCTTATCACTGATCTGCAGGAGGTGCTTGCTTGTAAGAGCATATATGTCTTGCAGAGGAAGGGCAAGCTCAATACCCTACTGCCTTCTCAGCTGATGAATTCAGCTAATTAGCCTCTTCAACCTGTCTTTCTGCAACAAAAGACAAATAGACGCGGAGCAGGCTTGCTATTCATTTCCTCCAGGGGTAAATGACCTTCCTGTCACTAAGGAAGAACAAACTGCAAGCACGACTGAGATCTAGTGAATAAGTTTAGTACTTATCCTTATCATTTTGACAGCACTCACAGCTTGAAAATGAACTCAGATTGAATCTAAGAGTCTACAGAAATTCCTATAGTTTTACTGTTGATCAAGTTCTGGAGATTAGTTACAACAGCAGATATAAAATTCCCATCTGATTTGCTGGATTAACAAACTGAATTTGCCCTCTAGTACTGAGTGCTAAAGCCCAATCCTAAAAGAATATTAATGTAAGTACGCTGCCACCAAGGGCATATATTTCAAATGTTGTTGGATTAACATAACCAGTTCATTATCACTGTACTTTTTCATCTCTGTTGGAAGTATTACTAATTGGTTGCAGAGTCTTCATATATTTATGTTGTTTTACTGAAGATGTCAGATGTTTTTCTCATCAGCCTCATCCACCTTCTTTACACCATCTCGATTAGTGAAGAAACACTTCTGGAAGTGTCCCTTCTCCATTGCCTACCTAATTTGTTTTCTATATGACATAATGATATTATAAATAACAGTAATTGTCTAAAGTAGATTTGGTACTTTAGAGGGGGGCAATAAATCTGCTTAGAAATAAACCAGTTTAAAAATGCAGAAGAAAAACGAAGGAAGAGAAAGGAATAAAAAATGTGTGACCAGGTTCACTTTGTCTGATGTGGATGTATGCATCCCCAGCTAAGGACAAGGACATGTATCTTTTTCTACACTGAGCTGGTGGCAGCTGAAAAAGTTACCTATCACCTTTTTCCTGTTTCAGAAGTAGTGGTCCCTCAGATGTGATGATGCACCTACTTCATGCTGTCTAAACCTGCCTAACTATTTTTCTCTGAAATGTGTAAGGGAGCAATCCATACAGCAGAACAAACTGCAGATCTATGTAAAAAAGGTAAACTGTGACATTTAAAGGGCTTGATGGTGCCAGATGGTCACCCACAGTTTAATGACTCCTTTCATGCTTAAAGAAAAATAGTTTTCTATTAAAAACATAGTGCACAATTTTAAGTGTCCATTTCTGAGTTGTTGAACAATTGTGTTTACAACTGTATTGATCCCATTTACCCTTTACTGTCCGAAAGCCTTCCATGGGAACTCTTTGAATTCTTGGAGATCAAGCATTTAAGATGGGACATTTGTGATGGACCATTGTGAACTTACTTTTCATGACACAGAGATGCATGTACTGTTTGAAAGACACCTTTAGAAACATTTTTCCTGGACTCTGTTATTGCACATATACAGCAATCAGTGATTTGAATTCTTTGGTTGAGCACAGCAGACTTCAGAGGACTAATTTGCTCCAGCATGAAGAAAGAGCTGACCATTTACATAATAAAAAGCACATTGAAGAGTAATTGGATCTTCACATCTGGATATTAAATTGATGGTGCTGGTTCTACAAAAGTATTTTAAAATGCACTTGTGCTGTGCTCTCATTGTTTGTGCTGCCGCGCTCCATCTGCACACAATTACGTAACACCGGAGAGGCTGAGATACTTGCAATCAAGTGAATCCAACTGCCCCTAATGCAAAGCAGATGGAAGTTTTCTTAACATGCAAATTGTAGGATTATTGTATATAATAATTAAAGAAGGATTTTCAAATATGGAAATCTAAACTGACATGTTCGGTGCGGTTCATTATATTACACTAAGACTGCAGGGTGTTGAAGGATATCCAGGTTCTAAACTGCTGCAATTACTAGATTTATTTACAGGATTGTCTTCAGGTTGATTTTAGGTTTCTTCAAGATCTACAAGATCACTTTTCATTTACTTGTAGCTACTTGTATACTTGGATTTTTTGAGAAGACCTCTTAAAATATAAAACCAGTTTGTTTACCTGAGGAAATCTTGGTGCTCAGTCATCTGTGGCAGACTGAGTAGGAAGTGATTTATCAAACCAATACATATAGCTGGACTTAAGTGGGCACCCATCGAAACAGCAAAATTAAATTAGGTGCGTACAATAACTTGCAAAGAAGGTTTATATGTCAAGGTAGAAATCTTGTTTGTGACATATCCTAAAGTGACAAAATGCTGCACATTCAAATATATGTGTTCCTATATGTCTAGAGAAATGTATCTGACAACATATGGATTTGTTGATTTAATCAAAAGATGCTGAACTTGAACAGTTGTTTTTTCCTTCAAGCTACTGCAGGTGTTTTCAAAAAGGCAATATTACCAGCAGTATAAACAACAGAAATAACAATTATTTGGTGTCACTGTGTAGTGAGAAATACAGTAATATTTTAGAAAGACATCTCTGAAACGCAACAATTTGACAATATACATTAGATATAACATATCTATTCCAAGATGTCTTGGAATTACCTTTCCTAGATCATTAGGGGAGTGGAGAGTGGACAGTGGAGAATGACACATCATACAATATAGCTGCATGTGAGTCAGTAAGATCATGCTGCCATGGAGAAACAAACAGCATTTTTAAGTATATCAGACTAATGTAAAATGTGTAAAATAATCATGCTTCACTAGTTTACACTATTAAGAACTTAGACACAGTCTGCATGCAGTTTTAGGCTTGACTCTGGAGAAGGGTGTTGGCCAACTGAAGAGTCTCCAGAGAGAACTGCAAGAGTGAACAAAGGTCTAGAAACACAGAGAGGAGATGGAATGGTCTGTGGTTATTAGACTGAAGAAGAAAACATTCCGAAGCATGATAATAGTCTTGCGGTACATAAGAAGCTTCTCTACAGATAAAAGAAAGAATCTGTTCCCTATGATCCATGAACATCTTGGAGCAGTATCAAGTTTAAGATGCAGCTGAAGAGACTAAACAAGGTAGTGAGAAAGCTTTCTTGTAGTAAGGATAGAAAAGCAGTGAAACAGATTACTGTGTGATGCTGTGGAAATTTTTTCAGTAGATGTGTTTAGGGATAAATTAGGTGAAAAACTGAGCAACAGGTACAGCTGATTCTGCTTGGGATCAGAGGGATCTTTCTCCAGGTTATCAAAGCTTCTTTGGGAAATCTTTTCTGTAAGATCAGTTTTAGCTTACAACTTTCAGATCCTTTAGTTTTTTAATTAAATAAAGAAATATTTTGAAGATTTTTTAAAAACAAGTTTTAATGTTTGCAGAGATAGGTTAGCTGTGAACATTTCTGAAATTCCATGCTTATAATTCTCCCCTTTTGCCTTCTCACCGACCAATGATCTTTTTTTTTTAATTATTCTTTTATACGGCTTGTCTACAATGGCCTAATTGCATCTTGTAAATTACTCATATATTTTTGTCTGTACATTCCTACTACAGGTGTTCCACTGAAACCCCGGAAAGAGTTAAAATTCATAGAACATCAGTCTGGAGACCTGGAAGTGAAGTGGTCTTCAAAATTCAATATTTCCATTGAGCCTGTGATTTATGTTGTTCAGCGGAGGTGGAATCAAGGAATCCATCCAAGTGAGGATGATGCTACTAACTGGCAAACTGTGGCACAGGTTAGTTCTTTGCAAGCGATAAGGATCCCTGGCTTCCAGACCATGATCTAAAGTCCTCTTCAGATCAGAGAAGAGATAGATCACTTACAGGTGGGGAGGCTTATGCTCAAAATACTCCAAGGTTTATGTTTCAAAATAAGTTTATTTTGTGGGTTTACTCTCTATAAATAAAAATCTATAGAACTAGCCCGAGGCTTGATTTTCACGAGACTAGTGGGTAGCACTTTCTTGCAAGCACATATTTGTGATCTATTCAGATGAGAATTCCGAAGACTCTGAAAGTCACAAGTCTCTTGAAAAATGTATAATTAGAGACCAAAATCCACTGGAGAAAGCACATAAGAGGCAAAGTCTTTTTGCGGTCAGTGGAACTCGTTGCATAGTGTCCAAGACATGACTTGGGTCTTGTCAAACCACAAGAAATACAACTGATGAAAAGGCCATTGATTTTTTTTTTTAATAAAACAGAGAGTGAAAAAAAAAGACTTAAAACCTTTTTTCTTTTTAAAGTTGTTTTTTTCAGATGTGACCCCCCCAGTTCGGCAAATTCTATGATGTCATGCTCTTATCACTCAGAGCAATCCAGACTGAAAATGTAAGATTCATGAGCAAATGTTTCTTAATGAGAAGCAGCCAACAGAGCATAAATTTTCACTTAGTTCTTTCCCAGTTTCAATCTGGTTTTTAACATGCTGACAGTCCACCTGGATGGCAGAATTCCAATCGTTTATCTTACTGCTTCACCCTCATCCCTCTTGACAAGAAAAGTAAAATGCTGATTTTGAAAGGATCTGCAAAATGTCATTATAGCTAGGAAAAAAAGGGGAGAGAATAAGTAGAACCATCCACAAAATAAAGTAAAGGATTTAAATTCTGTGACAATTTGTGCTCTTTCTCAATTCAGATTGTGTAGGAAAATGCTGTGTTTTAATAACATAAAGCTTGGGAGACTGAACACTCAGAAGTGAATTTCTTAGCTTCAGTATGGTGCTACAGGGAGCTGGCATCATGTTGGAGTCTTGCTCAGAAAAAGTCACCTGCAGCAGAGCCTGACATGAAACTGTGCTTGTGCAAGCCCAAGGGAACATGCACATCTCCAAACCTGATAAAGTCACAGTGACTTATTATCTCTCAGCTGAGGTACAGGTCTTGAACCTGCATTCTTCCTATCCAGCAAACAACCTCCTGCCTTGGCTACAAGGAAAATACCAGGTAGCAAAAATTAGCCAGATCTGAATTACTCCTCACTGTTGCCATGCCGTGTGTATGTGCTACAGGCAGCACACTGCTGTGCTTTTTCTCATCCCAGAAACAGACCTCATGCACATTTCTGGAAGCATGCACCATACATACTCCACAGCAGTGGAACATATACAAATATATATATCTACAGGAGAGAGCGTTTCAGAAAACGTGTTCCTATGCAAGAGCAGTAAGAACCCTGGCAGCTGCCTTTCCTGGGGGTCTGTTAAATGTAGTCAGAAGGGTCTGAGTTAATCACTGTGGCAGGAGAAGCCTCCTCCAACTGGCATCTTTCTGACAACTTCACTGTCCCATCTGCATCAGAAGAGACAAGAATTTGATTGTGTGATGGACCCCACTGGGGTTGTCAGTTCAAAACATACTTCAGGGATGCCTGACTGGCTTTGTGGACTGTGTATGCCTTATGGGACATGCAGGCTGGTCACCCTTGAGGGGTGCTAGTAATCAGAATTTCTATCGAGTAGTGTACCTCCGTGGTGTTTAGACAGTAGTTTTAGCCATCCCACCAGGCAATAAAATTTGTGTGACTGCTTGCAATGCAATTTATTTTGCAATATCAGCAACAAGGATGGATATCCAGATTGACTAAAGTGACAGCCTCCAGGCTTTTCTTGTCTGCATAACTGAGATATTTTCTTGTATGATTCCTCAACATTGGGATATGAGTCCTTAATTATAGGCAAAGGCTTAGAAGAGCTCAGACATTCAGCTGAGAACTCCTAGAGTATATCAGTCCAGGGGAGATGATGCTGGCTCTTGCATTACTCTTCAACTTAAGCTAGAGACCATTTAAAAGCAAAGATCAAAAAGGCTGTGGGTGAGGATCTGAATTTCTCTATGCCTATCCCCATATGTAGTGTAATTATGCAGTTATTGTTTGCATCTTCTTACAAGAAATTTCATAATGTTTTATCAGAGTTTCTCATCCAATATTTTATTTTTATTGTCTTTTCAAGAAGAAATTGGGTTATAATTTTCAATAACTTTAATGTGTATACTTTTTAAAAAAACTTACTGTTTTCTATTGCCTTTACAAGAGCTAATTTGTAAGTAATTTCTCATATCTCACATAAATTTTTACTTGATATTGAAAAAATAATTTTAAAAAAGTTCATTTCCTTTGTGTTGTGTCATCAGGTCTTTTTTTATGTTTTCTTTTTAAGGAAGAAGTCTCAATCTATTATTTCACTATTTTATTCTCCAGTTACATAAAGAAAGCAAACACATTGAAAACAATTTTAATTATTTTTCACTTCATGAAGAAGGAATTTTTTTAACTTTAGTATTGGAACACACATTTTTTGGAAAACTTGATGTAATTAACCATTTGACTAATTTCCATTGGTTAATATAAAAACTGTGGGAACCAAGATGCTAATTAGGTTAGTTGGCTGGGATGTAGAGTGTCCTAAGTTTTATGCCAAGTTCCTTACACTACTGTGTTTTAAGATTTAACCATCTGAGCAGGAACTGCTGCAGTATCCTATGAGAATACTGTATGTCTTGTCAACAAACTTATTGTTCTGTTTGATGCTATTACATTCTAAAAATAGTAGTATTACTGTTTACATTGGAAATACAGGTGTTAATCATATTAATGTAATTAATTAAGTTAATTCAAATATGCCAAGTAAGTTATTTTCATAACACATCTGTGTTGTGTGAATGCATGTCAAATATATGTATAAATATGGACAGACTATAATGAAATACACTTATTAGTTTATTCTGGTTTTTAAAAAAAATAAGGGGCAGTATTTACTTGATAGCTTGATTGTGACAGACCTTAGTACTTCACCTTGGAAGTGTCTAAATTCTGTGGACAACTAATCTTTTTTTTCTGAGACACCTAAAGGTCAGGTTCTGAGGATCACAAGAGGGTTCTCAGCCCTTGACAGTAAGATATCTCTGCTGGAACTAACTACTAGTACTAGAGGTTTCTTTCTCCATCCCCTAGAAAGGACTTGCTTTGGTAAGCATTCTTAGAATTCCCACCTTGTGTGGGATTGCATTCACATGAAATAGGGGAAATCTTCTGTCCTTTAATAGAATAGTGGATACAGCACTGTCAGTTTGCTTTTGTATCAGAGGAAACATAAACTCAGCTTTTATGATACTCTGGATGGTATCCCTTCACTCTCTGAAATGCAAATTCTTTTATCACTGTGCATTGTTTCCAAAGGTGTAGAGCTTTAAAATCAGCAGGGTAAGGCTGTATTCTCCTATTTCTATTAAATCTTTGCACTACAGAAAGGAGTCTAGGATTGATAGTGTGTAAGAAAGGGAATGAACACAGTGAAACAGTCCACTGATTACTGTAATCCTTGGATAGAGGAGAGTCCTCTTTACAAATCTTTGCCAGGAAGACCTTCTTGCACCATTTTTTGTCATATAAAAGATAGAAAAAAACACCGTAGAATGATGGCAGAAGAATCCCACCTGAATGGCCAAATTGCTATGCTGCTGGGTCATATATTCTCTTTCTTCTCCCTCCCAATCCTAACTAATCCCACCTTTCCCTTTCAAGAATTTTTAACTTTCAGCCTTTCTTTCTCCAAGGAACAGTTTTGCCTATGAGTGTAGAACATGTTGTAATGCTAAATAGGATGCAACATCCAAGATGATAGGGAATATTTTCTCCCAACCTCTCATACAAAGGTTGGGATTGAAGATAGGTCATCCATGCTCTGGGCAAGTACTTTAATCATTAGTCAGTTGTATAAGCAGCAGAGGGATATTTCTGTAAGCATTCTGAAGAAAATAGAATGAGGAGGCTACTTTCAAGGGAGGGCTCAGGGTTTAAACAGATAAGGGCTTCTGGGAGAGGAGAATTGTCAGTACTTCCTAAATGGAACAACTCTGGAAGTCTCAGCCAAATTCTCACCTGAAAGCCCAACAACTTTCTTCTTTCTGGCCCCTGGAGGTGGCCAATTGTCCTTTGAACCTAAAATGCACTCTTGAGAAGGAGTGTCAAGATATTATCTGTATTCTCCAGATTACATGGTGTTCTAGTTGTATCTTTATGTAATTAATGGGCATTTTCTCTTGTCTTCATTAACTTTGAGTGGTACTGAAGTTGGACATATTGGCCAGTTATTATCTGAGGACTCATTCATTATTTTGTTCCAAATGAAACGCGTACTAGGATTTGAACTTGCCTTCCTTTCATTTGTCTTTTAAGTAAACAGCTAATGCATAGCCAAAATAAGTAGTAATTGTGATTCTGAAATGATTCGAGTGGTAATCTTTGATGTATTTTTTTTTTTTAATGATTCTTAAAAAAATATTCTAGCCTTCTAAAAATTCAATAAAGCTTTTGTTTTATTTATTTTCTCTCATATTCAGGTAGAATTTCAAGTGTGTGATGAAATTCAACCATTAGTTATTTAGTACCACTCAGTATACCATTTAATGGGCTTACGTTAATATGACAGATATTAAAAAGACTCTGAATATTATGATCCCAGCTCCAAACGTACTTAAGTAGTGAGAACTAACTACACAAAAGCAATTAAACAAACAAACAAAAAATTAGATTTACAATGAAGGTAGTATAAGATATCTCATTAGTACTTAGTTCTTTCTTAAAAATATATTAGTTCTTTGTAAAGGTTGCTCAGAGGTGCCCAAGTAGTTTGTAACGTGGGAGTTACAGATACACCTCCTGCATGCCATCGAGCTTGGCAGGAGTTTTGCCAACAAAATGAATTATGAAAGTAATAGGCCCAAGGCATGTTCATAAATTAAAATAATTTTGGTGTTATGAGTTGATGGATAATTTGATTTTATAGCACTTCAAGGTTGCCGCAGAAAACTGACACAACAAAATTCTTTATTTTAGTCAGCACAATAGCTGAGCTTATGCCAATGACAAACAAATTCCTTAGTTGAGAAATTTGTCTACTCAGATTATGCTTGCCTTGTAATGAAGTTCAGCAAATCTGTTTTTAAAAGCCCACAGTATTGTAATTAGTTATTTACAATTAGGTATTGGTCCTGTTTTCAGTTGCAGCAGTAGCCTGAATATATCCTTGGATTTTTTTTTCTGTTAATAATGATAGTTTATATTCAGTTCACTGTTGTGTCTTACATGCAAGTTCTTGAGTATGTGGGCCTGCATGTTGGAAAAGATAACACATTTGAGCATTCCATAAAATAAAAATAATAGCAGAAGTTGTTTCAGGTAGGCGTTTTCTTCACTTGGGAAACCCTTGATTGGATGATATAATTCACTCGACAGGTAACATAAAAGCTGAAAAAAAGGAAAGAAAATGAGGCAGACAATGAAAGCTTCAGGGCTGTTACCCCTGCTTACTCTAAAAAAAACCAAATACAGCAGTCTGAATGGAGAAGGGTTCTAAGTAGCAGCAATATATGATGGGCCCAGAGTCTGCAACACTTACCAGTCTGAGAGCAGTTAACAGCGTGATTTAGAAAGGCTCTTCTTCCTTTATATGCACACACAAACATTCGCTAAATTTTCTGTTTGTTACCAAATGAAGACACTAAAAGCAGGATAACAACTGCAAATGTTATTTGTCAGATCTTTAAAAATACTACTGCTGGAGAGCTGAAGCAACTTTCTCAGTTTCTGGCTATCTGAGTTATGTCAACAGCTGCTGCTTTCTTACACAGATTGTAAAGAGAGCAAAAAGCAGAAATTATGCTGTGTCTTTTTTGGGAACTACTTGGCATCATTACAAGTAACATTGAATCCTATACAGGGAAGGTGACTGCTTGAAGTTGTAGAAAACAGAGATTGTAAAAATAAATTGATGGAACTACATTTTCAATGAGCTTGCATGTTTGGTCAGTAATGATAATTAGTAATGATTGTATATAGACATATACATGTTTAAGGTTCATGTGTTAAATTTTGATTAAAGAATTAAAACAAAATGCAATAAACATGATATTATAAAGTAAATTGAAAACTGGATAATGGAGAGGTAATTGCAAAAATAAAATCCACAAGTGGATGTGTTTCTGATGTGTTCTGCAAAGATGCTACATCTTCTGTATTTGGCAGTGATTCAGTGGTTACCAGGAGACTGTGGCAGTTCTGGTATTTGTACCTTAGGAAAAAAAAAACTCTGGAGAAGATAACTCTTCAAAAGTTTTGTGGGGAAAAAACATAGAGGAGAGCAGGGTTCAGAATAAGAAAGAATAAAGCACCTCCTACTGAAAGGGTTCAGAGTGCATCTGTGCTTGTGCCATATTTCAGCAGTTAAGGCTCTCCCCACAGAATCTGGCAATTGAACTCATGACACTGGCATTCTCAGTGGGTGTTGCTGGAGAAAAGGTCACCTCCTATGACCTGAGAAAAATCTGCAGGGAACAGTTAAGGGTGTGAGTGTCTTTTTGACGTAAGTGTCAAAGATCTGAAGAAGGCTTACATCCATTACCTGAGAGTTTTGTGTTTCCTATGAACTAGAAAAAGTGGCCTCTCACGTTGCTGGGTTTCATTAAGCAATTTTGGACCCCTTATTCTCTGAGAGTTGAGAATTGGAGAAATTATTCCTGTGACCTCAGACAATGAGTTCCCTGAAATGTCAACACCTGAACAGCTAGGCCCTAAACACTGGTGAAGGTTGTGATAGCTGGAAAACGAATTTTGTGAATTTAACACTTCACTGGTTTTCTAAAGGATACTTTTTCCAGAAGAGATCTGCAATGCACTGCAAAATTGGATAGTTATATCATTTTACTCACAGCTGCAAATGCTTTGCAGTGCAGAATGATGGTCAAAGTCAGGTGACGTGGTTGCATAGAGCTTGTGAACTAACTGTTGTTGCACAAGAGATGATATCCATGTCAGAACAACAAGTGTAAGTGTGACATTTTCCCCACCAGACTACGGACGAGCGGGTTTGGCTGCCGGACATCCGAGCAAGCAGGTGGTACCAGTTCCGCGTGGCAGCTGTGAACGTGCACGGGACGAGAGGCTTCACAGCACCCAGCAAGCACTTCCGATCCTCAAAAGGTTAGTTTTTGCTCACTGTGTCTGGTACTCACCTTCCTCTCACTCACACCTGGAGCACAACCTGATTTGCCCACTTTTGTGGCAGAAGTTTTTTAACAGGTGGGTTTTTGGGTACTTCTGCCACAGACTTTAGAAATGATGTGAGATTTGTTTGGAGTTGGCAAAGGGATTAAAGGTTAAAGATGTCATTATTCTTTTATCAGTAAGATGTCTCCACGAATAAACCTCCTTTTAAACAAACATTTTCTACAGTATTGGTGTCAAACACTATAACCCTGACCATGAAATATGAAGGAACAGGGGTTTCAGTGTGTTAGTCCGAGAGGTTTATAATATTTTTTTTCCTTTTTGTTAGGATAAATATGTTGTAGCAGCATTGTTTTGATGGAACTGTGGACCTCTTAAGATATTTTTCCCCTTGCTAGCACTAATTATAAGTGCTTAAGAATAAAAAAGGGTATAAATGGGAAGTAGCATGTTTCTGTTCATTAGAAAGGCATGCCTGATGGTCCACAAAGTATTGTAGAAATTTTTGTTGAGATTTCTGGTTTTGCAATGGTTTGGGTAATAAAATAACTTTGAAAATTATTTCTGTACCAGTAAATGGTACTTGAGAGATGGAGGAGATAGAAAGAGTTCTCCCATCCCGTGAAGTTCCTGGCATTGTCCCTGGTGTGCCTTTGACCCACGCGAAGCAAAGTTTTCCTGGATGACTCTCAGGCATGGTATACGGGTTACCACATACCAGAAGCTATTCTGAATAGGCAGATGGTCTGGATGTGGTCACCCTCTCTTAAAGACAGTCATAGCCAGACCATGTTAGTTGACTTCAGTGCCAAAAACCAAGATCCAGCACTTTTCCCTCTACTAATAGAGGCAGCTTCTAATAGAAACGCTTGTAGTTGTTTTAGTAGTGTTGTTAGAATCTTTATGCTGGTATAACTCACCATACTTCAAGGAATGCAGTTCCTCCTCTTTCTGCAGACAGAATTATCTTGCAGTACAGATAGCTGCCATCTGTGGGTTCCAAGCTTTTAGCTTGCAGTTTGGCCAGACTGACTGCTTGCAGTCAGTCCTAGAAAAAAAATCTTACTGGAGGTGCATCTATAGAGGCATGCAAGTACTTTTGCTGGTATGGATGGTTTAGTCACTTACTGAATAAGTATATATTAGACTTAATAACTTTTTGGTGCTATATCCATATTTGTGGTCAGAAGGTTGGCTGACATAGCTATCCCATTACTGCTGTGACCACAAACCTTTTCATGTATAAAAGAAGTATTATTTTAAGAATTTATTATACTTAAGTAACATACCATTTCAGTCACATCAAAAATATACTTCCTTTGAGCTGTGTTGAGCTTATTGTAAGGATCCTTCAGCTGCAGTACCTTTCTCTTTTCTTTATGAACAGCTCTTCAGCAGATACAGCAGTTTGTTGCTGAATCAGGCACCAACTTTCTTTTAAACTGATATCATTGTCAGTTGTGTACTGTGTAAATATTTTCTGACTATTCTGCTTGGAACCACTATGACTTCAGTTACATAAAGGTAACTGAATGATAACACCAACGTTTTGGCTTGACTGTGACATTTTCAGGCAGGATTTTTATTACTTTCCAAAAAATTTACCCCCTACTGAGTGTGCTAGCCATGGAAGTGTATTGCTTAAAATACCTACATTGGTAATGAATGTAAGAATATCCATGGTGTCATCTTGAAGGTCTCTTTAGCCCAGAATCTGACCCCAGAAGTGGGTTTCTGGAGAACAATATAAGAGCAGAATAAGCACATAGAGGTATTTCTTCGGAATAGCCTCCCAGCTGGCAGTGATTTGTGTTTCAGGAGCTTGTGGTTTTGAAACTATTACAGGAATACCAGAGTCCTCTTTTTCTGTGTTCTCTGCAGCAACCCCTGAAGCACTTGCTCTCCTTGAGAACTACTCGTGGCTGTCTGGTGGAGGTGGAGAGCATTTTTAGGACTTTGTGACAAAGATAGTGGGAAACAGTAGTACCTCTGCATGCTCTTACCTAATAAATTAAAATAATTGGATTTTGATAATGGCAGAAAGCATGTAGTCAGCATTCTTCAAAAGGCTTCTATAACTCTCAAAATAACAGTTTTCAAATCTGAACTCCAGCCCTTGGCAGAGAATCATGAATTGCCAGAAAAACAGAAAGGAGTTCAGTTAACTATCAGCTTCATAGCCCAAATCATCCTAATCTGGCAACTCATTTTACTATTTAAGGGGCTTTAGTACTGTCAGTGGTTGTTATAAAGATGCCGTGTTTGCCATATGAAATGTGTAGTCACACTGGGTGACTCATATGAAGATGCTTCTGGGTGCTGACTGCTGGGAATAATACTGGGATGTTTTAATGGGTATCTTTTAGCCTCCAAGTCCCCAGGTAGGCAATCATAGTGGCAACAGTTATAGTGTCACAGACATTTAATTACTACTTTGGAGCTCAGTGGGAGGTGGCGGTCTCTGCCTGGCTGAGAGGCAAGAAACTGCTGCTCAGATGTGCCTTGTTTTTGGAGTGCCACCATCTACTGGCCCCTGCTGAGCTCCTACAGGCACGTTTAACCTCCAGTTTGGAAAAGGAAAGTGGATTTTGGCACATCACCTTTGGAAGGTTGCTGCCTGTCTGTGCTATGTTTATGTGAAGTGTGCACAGAAATTCACATCAGTGTTTCACTTCACCCTGTTGTGCCAAGACCAAGAGAAGATTATTATCTTTGTCAGACTTAGCAGAAGTTTTCTTCAAAAAGAAACCCTTTGATCAAGAAACATGACAGCAATTCCTAAGACAGTTTCTCACACAAGATGCTGAACTTTTACCAATTGCTCATAAGTTATAATGAATAGCAAATTATTTGGGTTTGGTTTTTTCTTTAAAGGAGGACAAATATGATATTTAATCTGAATCTAGGGAGAAGTATGGCACCACAAAGTCTCTGTCACTAAATATTTTAAGCTGTTAAGAGGAACATTCAAAAACGTGCTGTAATTGCTTGGAGAGAGACTTTTTGTCTGGTTACCACAATCCTGTTTTATACTGTTTTGTGCTTTTTGCAAACGCAAAAAACATGATCTCTAAGTAGACACAGCAAAGTAAAGTTTTGTTTTATTCAAAATAATATTAAGTCTTCTGAGGTAATTTCCATAAACTTTTCTATCACTAAATAAAGCTCCTCATTATCCAAAGTAATTTAAAAGGGATTGAAATGAAAAAGACTAAATGAGGAAAACAAGAATATTACATCAAGCATTTCAGCTTGCCATTCTTCATATAGTTGTGTTTTGAGGTTTGATCTACTGCAGCTTTTGATGCTCTTATATTGCAAACATTTGAGGTGAAGGTTTATTAGCTTTTACACTGCCTCATGTGTTCATTTATGGCATTAATTTGTAAATAGTAAATAATCAAAATTACACAGCTGAGACTTTATGAAACATCCAAAGCTTAAGCAGAGGTTTGGGGTTTTTTTAATACTGTTTATTTATTTTTTATAGAGGAAATGAAGGGTTTGCATGTGCTTGTCTGACATGACCCTTCATAGGGGATAAAGTGATGCTTTGTTTTGCCAAAACATGATTCCAAAATGACAAGAAACACAGATTAGACTCTACCTACCTGTTTGTAGCGGAGTGACTGGAAAATGAAGTGAATGCTGCACTTAGAAAGTAGGTTTTTTCCTAGAAGTAGGACTCTGTACATGGACTTTTACATTGATACTATCAGCTAAAATTGATCAGAACTTTATTCTGTTTTAACAGTGGTTTCCACTTCTCTTTTCAGGGTTTTTAAATTGTGTGTACTTTCCTTTTCACCTTTAACTGAGTGTCAGTGGTTTACAATAACAGCAATAAATGAAACTAACTGAATACCTGGCAGAACATTTTTGATCTCCAAAGATACAAATATACTTCTCGTCATATTTAGGCTGACTCTCTCCAAGCTGTTTCCTTTCTTCTGGAAGCAGGAGAGAACTGTTCCTACAATCCATACATTAATGTCCTTGGATGAAAACTACCTGTACTTTTCACCTAGTAATCAGGCACTGGATAGCCTACCCCAACTGGTCAGAAGCTGCTTGGCACTAGTAATATAATTTTTAATTTGTTGCGTTTGGTTCAGAGTTTTTAGGCTACTTTTTCCTAGCTTTTTATGATTTGTGATGAGAATGAGAATGAACTCTTAGTAACTGAGACTACAGTTAACTATAGGGATCAGTGTTAGGCATTTCTATATAATATATTATCTCACTGGTCTGTGGGTAGGTACTGTGCCATTCTCAGAGAGAAAAAAAGGCCATAAGATCAACACAATGAGCCCAAATCATCCGATCCTTCTGCTACAAGTTTCTGTCTTCATCATGAAGGCAGTTGCTAGCATACGCAGGATAGATTGTTTTCACAGCACATAAGTACCATGCTGGATGTGATTTCATGCATACATTACTGAGTGTTAGAAAAACCAGAACAGACACCCACTCACGGCAATAAAATTCTTTCTGTTGCTCCTTTGAGACCAATGATTTTTTTATACTGTTGCACAGCTGGTTTATGTGTGCCATTTCCACTGGGCAAAGCCAGTCCTCCCTCTTATGCCTTGAAACTGTTTAATGGTTGGAAACTTGTCTGAAGAGCAGCTTCAGCAGATTTTTAAAGTTGGAAGGTCTAATGTTTGAAAGATAGCAATGGGAGATCTATTTTAAGTCAGAAAAAAACCTCCATAAAAAAGGATTTAAATTGTTGTCAAACTTGCTCTCACTTTTACAGCTCAGAATGAGAATTCTGGTTGCAATGTCATTATCCCCTTCTCTGACACATATTCCAAATCATTTACTGTTTTCACTACAGTTGCCACATTGAAATCCAAAGTGGATGCATTGCAACAGTGTATGATGTAATTCTTGTGTATAGCTTGCCCATACTGTTTTTCAAGGTTACAAAAGTGTTTCCAGATTCTATTGATTGAAATAATTTTGGAAAATATAAACTATCACTATGTTTACAAATATGAGTGTGGGAAGACACGCATTTTGAAATGGCGATGATGTGAGGTTTTTCTTTTTTTCCTTTATTTGCAGCAAGAAATCCTCCCGTTTGGGGACTGGAGACAGAGTTTTGCTTGTGATGGCTGAGTAGCCAGCAAGACAAGAATTTAAGTCCTTTGGGTATACTCAAGCCAAATACAATCCAGACAAATGCAGTACTTACTCCAAGTGCTGGAACAGCAGCTTCAGCCTTGACCTAATGAAGCTATCATTTCTAGCAGTGAGAAGCGATTTACTTGTCAGGTTGCTGAGACCAGAATTTTTTTCAGAGTTGAGGACAGCTGTCTGTGCCAAATTCTTGTATATATAGAGATATAGAGTGACTTCTATTTTATTTGAGTTGTAGTATAAAATGCAATGGAAAAACTGCCACTAGCATCACTCTTTCTGCAGACCAAAGAATTTGATTTAACACTCAGATAAATTCATGTATATAAAATTTCAGAATTTACATTTGAAAAACTGGCAGCAGTTTCCATTCCAGTAATTTAATGTTAATGTGTCTGAATTATACATGTGGGCAGTCAGTCAAAGGGATCACAGGTATATGAAGACTAACAGTAGAATGGCTGTTGGCTTTATAGTCAGCACAATGTCACTTGAGCTTTATAGCCAGGTTAACAAACACCTTATGTATGTAAGCTTTACGATTCAGTACCAGTTATTAGACCTTGAAGTATTTTAGCACGAGTTGTATAGTGCTTTTAATATCTACATAGACATAAGCATAACAGACCACCTTGTAGAAGCACGACTTTTCTGTTGAATAACACAGAAAAAAACTAACTAATCTCTTATCTGGTAGCTGGCTGGCATGCATTGTGGAGAACCATGCTCTTGCACTTAACAGGGTTTTTTTGTTTTTCTGGGTTCTTGTTTATTTGAGAGGTCTAGGAGGGTGTTGGTTTTCTGTGCATGTTTTCTTTGATGGTGGGTTTTGGTTGTTCTGGTTTTTTTTCCTGTTAATAGCAGAGATCAAATAGCTTGCCCTGCTATTCCTTCTCGCTTGTCTGTTCTACTTGTGAAAATAAATCCTTTCAAATGAAGAACCGATTAATATTCTTGGGTTTTTAGCTTACAAAATGATAATTCTATCACTTGTAATAGTGCTGAGTGTCACAGAAATACATGAATAAATTATATAGTGATATTGAAATACTTAATATGGAATGAATTCTCAGCTGGTATAAAATGCTCACTAAGTGGCTTAATATTTCAGGTAATACACCCAAAATTCGAGAAATATTTTACTGTTGTGTCCATACAATCAGATATGGTTTTTTTTCCAGATGATTAAACGCAAAACTGTAATAAATTAGGTTAGTTTATCTTTGATGTCTTACATCTTTCTAGCTTATTATTTTCTTCAGGTTACTCTACTAGTTTTAGAAATGGTCTTATAGAAAATGTGTCACTTTCAAATGTCTCACCTTTTCATGTTTGTCAGCTGCAGATCTCCTTTCTGTCTTCTGCTACTACCACTACCACTGTTCCTCATTGTTCAGAGGCATCTTTGTGGATGGCGTTTGTGAGATTTGCAAAAGAATCTTTGAAGAAAGAGGGCACTCAGGAAAACCTCTGCTATTGCTGTATTATTTCACATGTATATTCCTTCTATGAGGACATTCTTTCTTTCCTTAACTGTAATTAGCCAATGATTTTTATTATAATGTTCACATTCTCACATAGCAAAGTGGAAACACTAATAGGTTTTCTTTCAAACGTAGATCAGCATTTTGTCTGCTGACTGGACTGTTTATAATGAGCACAGAAGAAATGCTACTGATAAAGTAATGTTTTAAATAAACTATGTAATTATAAAAGATACAGGATGAAATGCTGGTGCTATAGAATTCAGAAGAAATGATCTATTGGTTTCAATATGCACATAGTGCATACTGTTTTCTTTTTTGAGATGGAGATAGAAACATTTGAGAAGGAAGAATCTAAATTTGGTCATTTACTCTTAGACCTAAAAAAAATTGGTGACTAGAACTTCAAAATATTTTTAATCATAATGCCCTTTGTCCAGAAGAGTTATTTCGTTTAACTTTTAGATTTTTTTTTAAATGAGTCTCAGTCTTCTGTAGATGCAGAATGAGGAAAAACAAGTTTTATACTTAGAATTGTTTTTGCTTATATCTGACCATTTGGAAAGACATTCTCTGAAACACTTTAATTCTATCCCATATGTTTTGTATACATAATACATGATGCATAGTACTTCTGGGAGATAACCTAAATAATTCACCTACAGTAATATGATCATGTTGCACTTCAGGTTATAAATGTTTTATTTCCCTAATACATTCTCATATCTGTGTGCCATAAAAACCCCCCAAACATTTTAAATAGTGAAGATGAATGCTTAATAAAGGTTTTAGATGTATGAATCATGATTATGTTTGTATTTGTCATATGTGAATATCATTTATATTTACTTATTTTATTAAACAATAGAAGGAAATGAAAAGTTGTATCAGAGCGTAGTACAAACCGTTTAGCTAAATTTTTCTTTAATTTATCCATTCTGATATAAGTACTTTCGTATAATTTAAGATGGAGTGGTTGGTTACTTCTCAGGTGTTGTAGTTTCACCCCAGCCACCAACCAAGCCCCACGCAGCCACTCACTCACTCCCCTACCATGGGGACTGGGGAGACAGTCAGAAAGGTAAAAGCCAGAACACTCACGAGTTGAGATAAAGACAGTTTAATAGGGAGAGCAAAAGCTGCACACACAAGCAAAGTGAAACAAAGAATTAAGTCGCTGCTTCCCATGGGCAGGCAGATGTTCAGCCATCTCCAAGAGAGCAGGGCCCCATCAAGCATAACAGTTATTTGGGAAGACAAACACCATCACTCCAAACGTCTCCCCCTTTCTCCTTCCCCCCAGCTTTATATACTGAGCATGATGTGATATGGTCTGAAATATCCCTTTGGCCAGTTTGGGTCACCTGTCCCAGCTGTGTCTCCTCCAAGCTTCCATGCACCCCCAGCTTCCTTGCCCGTGTGACAGTATGAAAAGCAGAAAAAGGCTTGGCTCTGTGCAAGCCCTGCTCAGGAATAACAAAAACGTTTCTATATTATCAACCCTGTGTTCAGCATAAATCCTAAACATAGCCCCATACCAGCCACTGCGAAGAAAATTAACTCTACCCCAGCCAAAACCACCACAACAGGTAAGGAAATTAGTGTAACAGCAGTGCTTCTCCAAAGCCAGAAAAAAATAAAAGCAAATGGCTTGTGAGTGGATTAAAAAAAACAACCACAAATGGAACTAAGGAATTCTTATTATTTGTAAATTATGCTACATTTCCAGAATTCTTAAGTATGCTTTGTAACTTTTATGGCCAAAATTTAGGTTGAATTATATATGTGAGGAAACAGAGACATCCGTTACTATTTAAGTAAAATGGCATGTGTGAGGAGTATCCATTGTTACTTAAGCAAGAGTCCTGATCAATAACAAGAATAAGCCATTATTTCACATCTGCTGATCTTTAAAAGTGAAATGCTGTCTTTATTAATTCTGAATGTGTCTTTTTTCATGAAGTAAATGATGGATTTTTTCAGTGAGACCATTTGTCATAGGGATTATCTAATGAACTTAGTACGCCTGGAAAGTTTATTTAACAGCTCATTTACCGTTATAAAAAGATGCAGGTGAAGTGCATGTCTGGTGTCCCCTGTGCACAACTCCAGTTTTATTTCTGGCAAATAAGGGTACAGGTTCCTAAAAGGTCTTAATTAACATGAATTTCCATTATTGTGCTTGATATACTTTTAATTTTTTTTTTTTTTTTTTTGAGTCTCATCATTTATGTCTAGTAAATTTTGGTTTTGCAGTTTCCTTGTATTTTGTCATGAATTTTTGGCTACCACAGCCATTTAAAAAAAGGTCAGAGTTAAAAAGTAGAATTAAAAATTAGGATTTGTTAAATAGCAAATTGGACTTTCAGAAGCTCAGCTGCAAAATTTCCATTGATTCACATTACTTAGGGCCAGGATATTATGTAGTAAGTCCACAAGAAGGACCTTATATTCAATATTGGAAAAGATTCGGTATTTGAGCCTCTGACTGTCAGGTGTCCTTTTTAACTCAAGTGTCAGCACAGAGACAACTGACAACTGTTATCTCAGTCAATATTGACCAGGAATTGAACAGAATAGTGAAATAAATCACAGGGGAAGGTAACTGCTTTTTTTCATTCAAAAAAACCCCTATAGACTTCTGTCACAGAATAATTGCATTAATTCTAAGGAAGTGTTTATGTCCCATGGTGGTAAATACCAATATTAGAATTTTGGAGAAAGATTCAACATGTTGAAACGTAATTTAATCATCTGAGAATTATCTGGCAACACCAAAAAAATATTCAGTGTTTCTACAATACAATTCTGTGGTGACTCTATAATGCTACTTGTAGAACTTGAGTGTATTTAAGGTAGTAAAACCAATAGTCTAGTACATTTTGACAAAGTTTCATAATGTTTGTGAACTATCAAAACCACAGAGTAATGACAAAACTAGATGCTAACCCATAATTTTTATTTCAGTAGAGTATGAATTTCTAAAATTTACAAAAAGCCATATCAGTTATGGGAAATCTTTGTCTGAATTTTCCTCAATATATTTAGTGTGTTTAATCCAGCTTGTGTATGCCTGGTAAATATATAAGATGAAGATAATATTTACCCTATTGAAGATGATCTTTATTTTAGAATCTCTTTGTTTATTTTTAAATTCCAGATCCATCTGCTCCACCAGCTCCATCTAATATCAGAATTGCTAATATCAGTGCAAGCAATGATGGCAGTGTGAATGTAATGATTACATGGGATCTTCCAGAAGAGCCTGATATCCCAGTGCACCACTACAAAGTCTTCTGGAGCTGGACCTACAGCAAATATGTAATTCCAGCAAAAAAAAAGAGAAGGAAGACTACCGATGGGGTAAGAAAGAAATTAATAAATGGGACAGAAATCTGGCTTATTTCTGGCACAAAGTATAGTATAAGTATAAAATATGTGACAAATTGAATGATTTCAGCAGCTGCTAAAGTGGTGGTCTGCATATCACCAGGGTCTTCATATCACCAGGGTCTTCATATCACAATTTTGATCTCTCAATGCTATCTTAGACTGAACTCAGGGAGAGAAGTAGACTTCTGCCTCAAAATGAAGTTAAATACAATAAGCTTTTCAAGGAAAGTTCAATAGAAAGTTAAATGCTGTTAGTCCTCCAAATTCAGGCTTATTCTATTAGTGCTTCTTAAAGATGCAGTGCTTGTTTTATTTTAAAAGCCTATCTTCATCTGTGACATTGTTCTTTCACTACGCAAATAAAACTTGTGATACTATCTTAGAGAATAACTGCTAAATAGTCAGCATAGGTCCAAGGGAAGAACATTCTCAAAACTCTTTAAATAAGCTGCTGTACCAAAGATCTGACATATTTCCTTAACAGCAAAGAATGAGTTTCTTTAATGATGTATTAGGTATTGGTTCACTGGAAAGCTTTCTGTTATGATATCCTTAAATATATTGCATATTATTTTAAAGTAATTAAAAGAAATAGAAATCTATTACAGATAACAGGTTGAACTTGATTCTCAGTGCATTGTGCACAGATGCATTATGAGAATTTTGTCCCATGTCTACGTCAACACTGTCTTTTGGCTCTGGCTGCCCACTTGAACTGCAATGAATGACAGTCACAGGGTCATAGTTCCCTCTTTGTCCCTCAGTCACCAAACCTTTATAAAAATAAAGTCAATGAAGGCTGCGTGATGAAATCATGCAAGAAAATTTGCACAGAAAAGAAGGTTAGTTCTTAATTGTCCTCTAAAAAAATTATTCTGGCAAGATAGGAGTAGGGTTGGACTATGCTATGTAGAAAAGTTTGTGTTCCTCAGGACAGTTTACATTGGCTTGAGACCTTCAAGACAGAGTCTTCAGCCTAAAGACACCAGGGAGCTTTCTCTCTACAAGCTGGTCCTTAAATCACAAACCCCAGAGAATTTTAAAATTGATCTGGGTCCTTAATGTTGATTTGGCACTTTGCATAGCGTACATCCTACATACAAATATATTAAAACAGATCTAATATTGAACATTATGTTAATTCAGACCAAGTTTCTGACCTTGAATATAGGGAAATACAGAAGAATCAAGATGTATTTTTATAGAAAAGTATGGCTCTTACAATATCTTTTGTATTAGTCCTAGTTTACTGTACTTTTTCTTCTGCAGCCTGTAATGAAACTGTACATCGCTGCCAGTGATATTCAGAACTCCCTACAGGACACTCCATATGCTATTGCTAATCAGTGGTCATTTGAATATTATAGCAAATCTTAGGCTAAAAAAGGAAAATGCAGGAAAACTTAAAAAAAAAGGAAAGGTTGAAAAATCACATAAGTGAAGATTATTTTTGCCCAGTTTTAATGTTTAGATATATAGCCTAATTCAAATAATTTTATACTGATTTCCATTTGAAATCATTCCAGGTAGACATTCAGTTAATTTGAATACAATATTAACACTCTTAATCAAGAGCTATAGTCAATATGTCAGCACAAAACAAGTAAAGATAATTAATATTAAATGTTTCTGGCAATTCCTTGTTAACATTCCAAGTGTTAAATATAGGATGGTTGCGTGGGTAAATAGTTGTCTTTTTCACTCTGGATTGACTGTCAAACTTAAGAGGCACAAGGAATTCTAATAAAAATAAGGAATAATGTCTTCCACCTGGCACTTGTGCTAGAAGGACATTTTTATAATTAAATCTAGACAAAATTAAACTCTAAGACTGTTGAGAAGCCTGGACTCTTCTTTGCAGTATTGTGCGACTTGCCTTAGTTTATGGGTTATTGCCTGGTGAGAATGATAAACCTACTCTGTTGTTTCCCTATTAAAGACACTTCCATGACACTAGAAACTTTTTCCATTATATTTTCCATTTTATAGGGGAAAAGTGTTCTTACCAATGAGTGGGTATTTTTTTTTTTTTAATTTTTTGTTTTCAAGAGTTGAAACAAATAGAAAATATTGAAGAATGTATTAAATGTTGGATTTGAGCTGTGTTCAGACTGGCTTCTGTAGAAAAAGTTTTCAATTGCTTTACTAACAGAAATTGGGGAATAAAACATTTAAATTCTTTGGCTAAAATGATTTTGGCATAAGAAAAAAACTTTTTATATGGAAGAAAACCCTTTGTTTTGGCCTAAACAAAGGTTTGGAATTGCAAAAATAGCATCAACAAGGTTAGTATTTTTAAATGACACAGAAAAACAGAGTCCAATAAAAGAGATTTTTTTAAAAAGGAAATTTTACTCTGAAATTTATACATGAGTTTTCTAATTTCAAAAAGCTTGGGTACCTAAGATAACAGGCCTGTTTTTAATAAAGGGCTGTGTTTCAGCAATACTATAACTGCTTTGTATATTTATTCTGTTATAGGCCCAAAATTATGTGGTCCTGGAGGGACTCCAGCCCAACAGCAACTACAATGTAGAACTGCAGGCAGTAACACGTTGGGGTCAGATACGCCTAAAAAGTGCTAAGGTTTCTCTCCATTTTAGCACGACTCAGGACATCAGGAGTAATAGTGAGTAATCATATTCAAATACCTGAATGCTTTTTCTCTCCTTTATCTGGAATTTGAATGTTTTATATAATGATTTCTCAAATTTAAAAAAATAATTTTCTTAAAGCAGGCTGTTTCATAGTACAAAGATCTTCTCTCAGTCAAGTTGAGTAACCTTTTCATGTTAAATTTCTTATCTAAGAATTGGTGTCAGTTTCTGCCTAATTCTTTGTCTTAGATCCTACTCACCTAAAATAAACAATTTCAATGAAACATCTACATGACTATTGTGTTAGTGTTCTTTAGATGTTATATAGGTATAAATACTGATGGTATTTGTCAGTGTGTGGAATAAAATCATTTCTATGTCTTTGTCTTAACTGAACAGTATTAACCTGCAGTATCTTTCAAAATCCTGACTATTTTTAGTAGCCTATAATAGACCTTCAGGTTCTTGGACCACACAAATACGTATTTACTATGAATTGATATAAAATATTGTCTCTTCTTTTAGGAAATCAAAAACATTCCATATCTAACAAGCAATGCATTCTCAAAATATTGCTTACATAGGACCTGCACTCAAATTAAATCTCAAGATCTTTAGAGGTTAGGTTATGCATTGCTATAGTCTTTGGAACCTGACATGCTAAGTAATATAATTGAAAACTGTATCTGAATCTGAGAGTAAACCATGATTCTTAGTCTTGGTTAAATGCTATTTGTACAATTAAAATACACTACTGGGTTACTGCCACAATTGCTGATGTTTCTCTGTTTAACTAATATAGAAAAAATCTGATAATAAGATGTTAAAGAATATGATTTTAAATATTCTTCCCTGTCTCCATTGCATTTTCCATTCATTTACATTCTCTAAAGTACACTCAAAGTTTAAACTTGTGGCCATTTTCATAACAGAACTGTAATTACTTTCAACCTAACTAATCAACTGCTATTGTTGCCATATTCTGTTTGGGAATACACAAAATATTGTAAAGTAGTTTTTAGCTATAACAGACCTTCTTGTCTACGATTGCTTCCCATATTAATGTACCAAGAAGAAAAAGTAAACCTAAATATTCTTTCTTTTTCCCATATTAAACTTACTTTTACTACTTTTCTGGGCCATCTTAAGAGGCAGAAGAAGGTTAAGTTTTCATCTCTTCCATACAATGTCTTTTCTTCAAATCCATACCAGAATATCAGCTTGAACCTTCACAGTTTGTACATTAGTCAAGTTTAAATCCTCGGTTGTGTTAAATCCTCAGTGAAGCACAATGTATGTGAATATAAGAGTTCTGCCCTTTCCTTATTGGCTCTCCTACATTGTATCTGTGCTTTTTGTCATCCCCTAGAAAAGTAATGTAGTTTACAGGACTGTGCACAATGTCAAAAACTTCTTTGAGTCGCCACATAAAGTTGTCCTTTGTTTTCTATTTGTACACAGGAGATGTAATAGAAGAAAAATTACAGTGAGAACTGGGTGTTTAATTCCAGAACACTGAGCCATTAAGCTACACTAGAAACATATCTTTGGTGTTTATGGGAGGTGTTCATGTTTTGCTGAATCTTTTCCTAAGAATTTTTTGTGGAATTTGCTACTGTTTTTCCTTTCTCTTTTCCTCCCCTTCCACTCCCCCTGCAAAGTTCATTTTGCTAGAGAAGCAAGCAAAAATTTTGTTGGTTTTTTTCGACCCCCCTCCCAATTTCCTGCTCTTGCTCTCAGTGCTAAAATTCAAGGTGTTTAGTTTTCGGCCCAGTCATCTTGACTGTCATGTTGCCAGATTACATCACAACTCTGAGAAAGAGCTGGGTTTACGTCAGATCACAGAAGAATGCTGGTGCTGGGATTTCAGCTGAGTCAGGGGTTGGTCTGTGTCCTGATAACTGGAAGAAAATTCTAGATACCATTATACAGAACTAGCCAAAGGAACAATGGGCGAGCTGTTGAAGTTCTTTCTCTCATTTTACTGTGATAATAGCTTTATAAACATTCCCATTTTGGGAGCAGGGATAATTAATCAACCGACCTTTCTCATACTTTATTGCTAATCTTGACATCAGGTCAGATCATTGTAGTCTTTAAACATAGTAAATAAAGACTTTCAGTATAAAAAAAAACCTCTAAGCTGAAGCTGAGTAGTTGAGATTGAACCATGTAATTTTTGGTACCATTCCATACCTACTGTGAGAAACCCCTTCACTGGTAGTGCTGTATCAGCTCTCCATGGCTTCACTGATGATCTGGCTTTCTTGGTCTATATCATCCCTGCATTGAGAGAGGAAGATGTTAATTTCACTTCTCCCTCTTCAAGATATTGTGTTTTTCAGAATCTGAAGCAGATCACATCTCAGGTATTACTTACAAACCCTCTACCAAATGGCGTTCATTTATGCTACACCTCACATGTGACTTTGGTTGTTTCATCATTTTCTGTCCACTCCAGCGGCACCTCTTCCCTATCATTGCTTAGAATTCCTTCCACAATTTTACTTGGATACTCTACCCTCTCCTTGGTTGTTTTGCTTCAGAAAACAGTCCATCAGTATTCTCTGTGAAAGTCTGCTGTCTACTTATATATAAGTAGTACAGACTTTGTAATGCCTGGTGCTTTATTTTGCTTTACTGGGGTGACCTTTTTGTACTAAAAGGTTCATTAATTGTTGTATTTTTCTTAAAACTAGACTAAGACTATACTGAGAATAATATTTTTGTATTGTCATATACTTAAAGTATTTGACTGTTCTGTTCAAATTGTGAACATCCATTTAGTTAATGAGCAGTATGTTCTTTCTAAGTGCAAATCAGTGCCTGCAAAAACTAAAACATGTATTTGTTTTACAGTAGAGTATTTCAGTAATAAGTTTACAGACAAATCTGAACATTCTTTCTACTAAAGCTTTGAGGTAAAGGATTCAAGATTCTTTGAATCTATACACTGATGTCACACATTTTAGTGAATAGAGCACTCTGCCGAGAGGTGTATTTAGGCCTTTTTGGACATTTTAAAAAAATGGCTAGATTGTAGCTTATGTAGAAAAGCAAATAAAAACTACTCCTAGAGGAGATGCAAATTCATCTTCTGAATCTCTCTCAAGTTAGGTACAGAGTCAGTCCTGCTTGAGGTACTTTTGAGAATACTCAGAAGCAGATGGATAAATATGAAAAAGAAAAAAAAATGCTTGAAATATTATCTAGGACATGACATTCATGGCCTGTCTTTACTTGGGGACTTCCATAGCCTTTGGGAAGTAATTCCAGAAGCAACATGCCAATTTTGCTGAAGTTTCACTGTCAGATGCTCTGCTCTGTGTGGAATTAAGCTCTGGGTTTAAGGTGTCTGGTCCTATTGTCAGAATAGGGATAGTCCATAACCCACTGAAGTAATTTAGTCCTGCAGACCTCTGTGAGCTTTGACCCCAGCCCTCTGGCATTATATTTCCCCACACTCAGATATATGTTGCCTCACTATATTTGTATGCTTCACTTCTGGGAAATACAGCAAGACTCTTGCTTGATCTTTATATAAAAATATTCTAAATTGATGTCCTGGTTTTTCTGGAAGTGGAGCAGACAGAGAATAGCAAAGCAGAGATGTAATAAAATTAAAATACTTTAAGTTGAGGAATACCTAATAGATTTTAGTTTGTACTTCTCTCTATTACTTTTTGATAGGGCTGAGAAAGTAAAATTTGGCCATAAAGCGAGTTTCAGCTGAAGCTACATGTAAGGCAAAATGGTTAATTTTATGTTACTTGTGAGGCAAAATATTCCAGTTTATTTGTTATTTGTGACAATTATTGAAATCTGAGCCTTTCCCTCTTTCTCTCAAGTATGTAATTAATAATTTGCCACTTCCTAATTATTGGACTCTAGTTTTCATTTAGGTGTATTATTGAATTATACAGCTTTTTTTTGTTTATAATCTGATCCTCTTAATTGGATTGGATATATTTGCAAATGTGCAATGAAAATTGCAGTTTGAATCAACATTGCTGCCTTTTCAACTGAAAATATCTAGAAATATTGTCAACTCTGATAAATGTTCATAAATTGTTGCCAAACAAAAGGCTTGATGAAAGACATCCCATTACCATTGCTTGTTGGAAGCTAGGCACGTATAACCAAGGGAATTACTGAAAGAAAATTCTGCTCTTACAGTGTTTCCCTAAGCATTCATCATTCACTGTTGGAAACAGAAAAGTGGGCAAGAAAGATCTTTAATCTGACCACAATGTTCTTATATAGCATACCAAAAGACTATATTTACTTTTATGTAATAACCACATGTGGCACTCTGTGGGTTACACTCAATGCAGTCCTTGGTTTTTGTGCATATTCAAACACTGCACAAATATAAAGACTGAATGATTATACAGAAGTACTGCTAGATACTATGTCTGTTTAAAAAGTCAGTCTGTTAACATTTCTTCTTCTTGGGGATATAAATACAGTCCCTTTCTTTATGATTCTTTAGAAAATTTACAGAGCCTTTTCTTATAATAATATATTTATCTTTTTCTGTCCCTGTCTAAAATATTTTCTTTGACTGAATTTCAAACAAGTGATATTCTTTTCAACCATTACAGACAGTTTGTTCCTTATATTAATTTCATTCAGGTAAGATACTGAAATAAGATAATTTGGATGAAAGATAGTATTATTTTCTGAATTTCAGCACAGTTAACATAGTCATTTTACAGCACCATACTAACTAAATAGTTTCCTGATTGTTCTGTGTGTTGCAGAGGAACGGACGTCTGCTGGGAAACCACAGAAAGGACTGGTAGATCCTTACCCAAACTTTCAAAGAAGGAAAACCACTCGTTTTCTAAAAATTGGAACTCCTTTCTATCAGGACAATCAACTTCAGGTCAAAGTCTACTGGAAGAAGACGGGTTTGTCAAATTTTTGATTTACTGTTTTTTCTAAGGAAGACTCTCATCGTCTGTCTCAGAGTTGTAGAAATTAATAAAATACTATAGAGTAATTCAGAGTTAAATCCTGTGCCCATTCTTCCATCTCTTCACCTTCACATTGGAATGTTGTGTTGTGTTACATCTGTGTAAATGTCTCACAGGAGGAAATGACATGAATTGGTTATCCAAAATTACAGTCAGTCATGTTGGGATGCTGAATCTTCACATAGCTGAGACAATTTTTATTTCTGTAGGAATTACCTCTCTGAAGTTTTAAGTAGGCCAGAGCCACAAAAGCTCGGAGGAACATCTGAATGTTGCCCCCCTAGAGGATGGTTGGAAGATCTCAAGCACATACAGTTCCAGGGCAGATTTTCTGCTGATGCCACTGCAGTGTCACTTGTTGGACTTTGTCTTTTGAGAAATGAGTCAGGAAATTAATGCATATGGAAATCATGCAGTGGTGTCACAGAAACTAAAAAGTAGTTTGAATCACAAAATTTAGATCTATACTACCTCACTGTAGGGACACAATAGGCTTTATGCCAAACTTTATAGTCGGTCACAACCACTGAAAAAGTCTTGAAGTTGGTTTTCTGCTAGGCTGCATCCCTCTGGTTTTCAGAAAAATCTAACAACAATTTTATGGTTTAGTCATCCAGTTTAAAGGAAAATGCCATACATTTAAAGTGTCTTAGATTAAAAAATCAAAAAAGGGATTTTCCTTTCTTGTCCTCTAGGAGTATGTAGGTTGTTACAAATTGCTCCAGCTTAGCCATTACAAGTTCATATGCTGTTATTTCAAAACGTGCTAACACTGTTAGTGTTTACTTGGAGCAATCTACATGTGTAGCAGTACCACTAAATAAAATCCATTCAATTTTTGTGTTTGAAATAAAGGGCTACCAAGTGGATAATCACCTTTTTTTTCTGGAATTTTTCAAAGAATTTCCGAAGTATTTAAGTGCTTTTGTGTTTAGGTGTGTGCAGCACCATCTTGAATGAGGACAGGCTATTTAAATGTTCACTTATGCTATGTAACATAAGAATATGTCACACAGAATTGTGCATGAGGCGTATCCTTTGCTTTTTAAAAAATGCCTGCCTGTTTGAATGGTGGCCTTCTGCTGTGTTAATTACTTTCAAATCCATTCTTACTCTTCCATAAAAATCTGCAGGCTTTGATTCAGCCTGACTATATACACATTTTAAATGTTTGTCCCTGTCTTGTCTGTGCTAGTTTTCTTTTTCTAGCTTTCCCCATTATATTTCAGTTTTAGTTAGCTTCATAGGAAGCTGGAGTAATTTAGAGTTTAAATAAAAAAGTTAGGTATTTTTAATTGGGGACTATTGTTTACCTAAAAATGTGGTTTTCGTTATCCAAAGCGAGATTTATATATTCTGAGCTTGGTTGGGACTGATCACCTTGAACTTTGGCCATTTGCAACTGTGATGTCGACTCATTGACCAAGCTCCTTTTATAGTCAGAAAAGAAAAGCAGGTGATTTCTGAAGCAATTCATCTCCCTCAGCAGCAGAATTGTTCTCTGGAGATACCCCTCTTCTTTACTGAGAACAGAAGGGAACTTAGACAGCCCATTTATAGAAAGCTAAGAGATACCTAATGTCTCTCTGTGAGCTGAAGTTCAGTTCTTGTCAGTCTGTACTGAAAAAACTGAGGGAAGGATTCAAAGATGAGGAGACTATGATGTCTCCCACAGGCATCAGGCAGGGCTGTGCAACTCACAGTCTGCAGGCAAGAGTCAGCCCAGTGGAACAATCGATCCAGCTGCAGCCGTTTTCCTGCCAGCCTGTTGCCAGAAAAAAGACCATGTGTCCTGTGACCAAAATGCCAGCACCCCTATTGAAATTCACCTTATTAATAGTTTTCCAAAGTTAGTTGTACTTAAGGAAGAAAAAATCGTGACCAGTATAGCAATATTCTTGTTCCAAAGTAGATACTTTGAACTAAGTGTCCACTAATTATCATGGTAACAGAGATAACAAGAGACATTGCACTATAGATACTTAAATGTTTCCATCTAAATCTGGAGCTGAATCTCACCCTCTACTACATACTTGGAGATAATATTTGTATTAAATGCTATAGATGTCTGTAAGAAGAAATAGGTACTCAGCATCATTATAGTGACTCATAGTTTGGAAATAAGAGTGTTTGGAAGTGGTGTAATCTCCATAATAGGAAAATGTCGCAGACCTGTCAAAAATGACATTGATTTACATGCTGTGACCTTGTGCCAGGAATGGACTAGCTGAGTTGCCAAGAAGCTGACTGTACAGCTGACTCATCTTGTGTGAACATGTATGCATCCAGTTACATAAGGGGGCACTCAGAGGTCTGTTTTGGTCATGAGCTGGGGCAAGCTCTATAATAGGCACTGGGGTGTTTAAGTACATGCCCCAGTCATGCAGTGGAAGATGCCTTCATTTTTCTCCCAGAACAAACAGTGATAGCAAAGGTGTGTGAAGAGGGGCAGAATATGGCAGTTCATCAGACTTTTTAATTTTCTTTTTTAAAAAGAAAATATCCGCATTCTGAGTGACAGCATATGCAGTAACTCAGCAGGAGCCGTTGTCTCATGTGGAACTGAAATATAGCCAGTTACTTGCTCCTTAGAAGCCAGTAACTTCTATAAGCCCTTGCAGGAGTTTGGAGATTATATAGTGCATGGATGAGGTACTGACTGTAAATTTACTAGTGACAATTTACTGCAGAGAAAGTCTGTTTCACCACGCAAGGAACACAGCAGGAGAAGTATATTGGCTGTGTCCTGTATTTATGAAAGACAGCAGTTACTGGAGCCAGCTGTGTTGGGAACTGTACCCGTGCATCTTTCTCCATTATGAACTGCACTGTCTTAAGTTGTGTTTAGTGAGTTGCAGCAACTACAATAGGAAATACTGACAGAGAACTTATCTGAGCCTGCTCTATGGCATAACATATATTTATATTGCAGGTAGGCAACCAGAGTTCAAATCCTTCCTCACAGGAATTGACCTCTTTGTCTCCTACATGGTGGGTGAACACAGGAGTCCCTGTTGATTGCAATAATGTTCGCATTTTCCTGTGAAAAATCAACACTTTTTTTGGTGGAGAAACAGCCATTCTGTAGTCCTATATTAGAATGTGCAACATTAAAACATAAAAATTAAGAAACTATCATAAAACCACGTGAAATAAGTAGATTGAGAAGCATAAGAGTTTCCACGATTAAAAAAATAGTTCAAGAAATAAAAGTCTCAAGCTTAAACATGTTGAACATTTGTAAATTGATCAAATTTCAGTTGGTTGTAGCAATATTTGCTTTGTCTCATTTGGCTTTCAAGTTTTTTTGTACTCTCTGCAGTATACATTGTGATCCTAACAAGAGATGGTTGCAGAGATAATGAAACAAAAACATTATTTAGATTTTGAATTTTTTTTTTTTAGATGAAGACATTTAAACCAGTATGTTGTCACAGAATCACAGAATGGTTGGGGTTGGAAGGGACCTTGGAAGATTTAGTCCAACCTCCCTGCTAAATCAGGTTCACCCAGAGCAGATTGCACAGAATTATGTCCAGGCAGGTTTTGAATATCTCCAGAGAAGGAGACTCCACAACCTCTTTGAGCAGCCTGTTGCAGTGCTCTGTCACCCTCAAAGTAAAGGATTTTTCCTCATATTTATATGAAATTTACCTTGTTTCAGCGTGTGCTCGTTGTCCCTTGTCCTGTCACCGGGCACCACCAAAAAGACTCTGGCCCCATACTCTTGACACCTGCCCTCAAGATGTTTGTATGCACTGATAAGATGCCCTCCAGGCTAAACAGGCCCAACTCCCTCAGGATTATTCTAAAAGAATAATCTTTTAGATTATTCTCATTGGTTCTCTTGTTAGCTGAGAAATCATTTTGCTTTTTAATTTGAATCATTTTACTCAGTCTAAAGAGCTAAAATAGGTCAGAATCATAAAATAATTTAAATGGGTTGGAAGGGACCTCTGGATGTCAGCTGGCCCAACCACCTGCTCAAAGTAGAACTAACTCTGAAGTTAAATCAAGTTATTCAGTTCTGTCTGTAAGGCTCTATAATAGATGTTGTCATTGTTTCCTCAGTGACAGGGAATTTATCCTTCATGAATACCAGCCTACACAGGCCATCTAAGTTTATTGCAGTGTGCCTTAGGATTCACAGAAGGTATGGTGATGTCTGTTGACATTCAAAGGTAGTTCTTCCATGACTATGAAGACAAATCCCTCAGTGAAATTTGCAGATGTGCCTCTCGGAAGCCAGTGAAAAGAACACAATGATGACGTCAGGGCCAAAGGTCTTGGTTTTGTACCATCCTTCTGAATAGAATTCATCAGACCTCTGTTCTGTGCAACAACTGCAACAGAGGGTGTGTTGCAAACTATGACCAAACTGATTTCATTATACAGTAAAGGAGTGATTGCACGTCAGTACTCAGAAACTCATTCAATACTCAGAAGTTTTTGAGTAAAAGTCTTAGTAAGTGGATGGATTTCCATATATATGCATCATAATGTGCCACAATTTGTTAAGCAGGAAAAACTTATCTAGGCCTTAAGTGTCATTTAAGTCCCATTACTTCAGTAAGCACAAGGCATGAATAAAAATGTAGGATCTGGACTTTACATTAAAATAGGTCTCTTTCTGAAATAATCTTTCAGTTTGAATGCTTCAGTATGATGGCAATAATAACTTCACTCCAGGACGTATGCTAGCAAAAATATCTCCACACTTCAGGCAGTACAAGGTACTTAGCAAATGCACATAATTTTGCTAGAGTCATCAAAAAGCATATTGCATAAGAATACAATAGATTCTTGTGGAAGAAAGAAAATGTGTTTCGCTTGCTGCTTGATTTAGGCTTGGGATTAGAGAAACATACCTTAATACATTCCTTAAGCAACAAGAATCCCACCTTTGTAAATGAAAAGAAGAATGTATTTGTGTA